GTGCCCGCAGTGTCCCCATACCCACAGTGTCCCCATACCCGCGGTGTCCCCGTGCCCATGGTGTCCCCATACCCACAGTGTCCCCATACCCGTGGTGTCCCCATACCTGTGGTGTCCCCGTGCCCGTGGTGTCCCTATACCTGCAGTGTCCCCATACCTGTGGTGTCCCCATACCCACAGTGTCCCCATACCCACAGTGTCCCCATACCCGTGGTGTCCCTGTGCCTGTGGTGTCCCTGTGCCTGTGGTGTCCCCATACCCGCAGTGTCCCCATACCCGCAGTGTCCCCATACCCGCAGTGTCCCCATCACAACTCTCAGCTCTGTGGGTGCATTTCTCACTCTGGACCCTCCCCAAATCTCCTCTCTGTCCTGTGCAGGTGTGTGGTGTGGACGGGCGATGACCGCGTGTTCTTCTTCAACCCCAGCATGCAGCTGTCGGTGTGGGAGCGCCCGCTGGACCTGCGCCACCGCGGGGACCTCAAACGGCTGCTCCAGGACCCGCCCCACAAGCGCAAACTGGAGCCTGCAGCAAGTAACTRAACTGGCAGGGAGTGCCGGCCCCAAAAACCAGCCCTGAGCTGGGGCAGAGTGGGCTCGGTGTTTGGGAATGGGGATTAGAGTGGGGTCATTGGGAATGGGAACCAGAATGGGGTCATTGGGAACGGGAATAGAGTGGGGTCCTTGGGATCAGGAATAGGGCAGGGTCATTGGGATCAGGAATAGAGCGGGGTCTTTGGGATCAGGAATAGAGCCGGGTGTTTGGGATCAGGAATAGAGCGGGGTCTTTGGGAATGGGAATAGAGTGGGGTGTTTGGGATCAGGAATAGAGCGGGGTCCTTGGGATCAGGAATAGAGGGGGGTCTTTGGGAACAGAAACTAGAATGGGTTGTTTGGGAATGGGAACCAGAATGGGGTGTTTGGGAATGGGAATAGAGCGGGGTCATTGGGATCAGTAACCAGAGTGGGGTCCTTGGGATCAGGAATAGAGCAGTGTCCTTGGGATCAGGAACAGAGCGGGGTCTTTGGGAATGGGAATAGAGTAGGGTGTTTGGGATCAGGCATAGAGCGGGGTCCTTGGGATCAGGAATAGAGCGGGGTCATTGGGATCAGGAATAGAGCGGGGTCCTTGGGATCAGGAACAGAGCGGGGTCCTTGGGAATGGGAATAGAGTGGGGTCATTGGGATCAGTAACCAGAGCGGGGTCATTGGGATCAGGAATAGAGCGGGGTCCTTGGGATCAGGAATAGAGCGGGGGTCCTTGGGAACAGGAACCAGAATGGGGTGTTTGGGAATGGGAATAGAGCAGGGTCCTTGGGATCAGGAACAGAGCGGGG